CCTTGGCGGTTCGTTTCTGCGCGGGGCAGAGGTGTTTTCCTGAGAAACGGAGGCCGCGGCCTAGTCCCGGACCGCCGCTGAGGCGTGCGGAACGGCCGGCAGCGCCTTGTAACGCCCGGGGCGTCGGAGCTGCCTTTAAGCGACCCCGAGGGCCTTCTTTCGCCGTTGTTAACGTCCCTAGGCAGGAAACGGGCGTTGCAGTCCTTCACCTGCGGCGTTTCTGTCAGGGCCGCCAAGGGGAAGGCGTCGAGCGCCGCTTCCTCGGGCGGTGCATCTAGTACGGGATAATATTTTCCTGATACAATGTTTTCCATGCATAACAACTGGATATAAATACTCGGTTTTCATTTAATAAGACCTTTCTTTCGTTAGTTTGTGATGTTGCAGCAATGCTGGCAGTAGTTTCTCAGAAAACTGTCTATGAACAGAGAAATTCAGAACTGATGGAACTCCAAAAGCGGTGGTATGAGAGTCTTGTACCCAGGACAGCTAGGTTAGGATAGATCCTCGTGAAATATGTGCACCCTGGTACAGAACCTTTGTTTTCAAAGGAAATGCCACCTGTTGAGAGTTTGGGATGTGCTTTTAAGGGAAAATCTAGGTCATTTGCATGTCTCTTGCATTTAGCAAGTGAATTTACGGTAGAGGTGAGACCCTTAGTGCAACTGCATATTCAGCTGTGATTTGGTTGGTGGTTTTAGCAGTTTACAGAGGCATGCTCTCTTCTCTCTATATATTTGGACTTTTCCTTTTTTATATTGTTCTTTGTTTCAGACATCCAACTCTCCAGTTTTGAAAGCTATGTCCTAAGAAATTAAGATTTCCTGAACTCATTTGGTGTCTTTTCTTTTGCTAATCTGTACTGCCACAGTGCGTCTGCTGGGCAAGAGCATCATATAACATAATTCTCAGTTAGGATCCTTCCCCATGACTCAGTCTGTTCAGTTTGCATTGCAGCATTACCCATGCTTGTATTGGTTTATATTTCCAACTTTATGAAAACATAGGCTATCTTTAAGTGATAAACAACTTAAACAGCAACTCAGTACAGTTGCACAACCCTAGTCACAAGAGTGTCTAAAAGAAAAATAAGAAAAAAAATGGAAACATATTAAACATGCAGGCATTCTATGATTCTTCTGTTGTAATCTTTCTCTTCATGTTTTATCATACATTAACTGTGCTATATCCAAAAAGATTTCAGTTCAGTAACTTTAATTTGCTGTATGAAGCTGTTATGTGTGCCTATAGTGCTGATGGTTGTTGAAAAGTATTGTGGGAAGTGCACCTCAAGTCATATGCATCTTTAAAGGAAAAATAGCTTATAACCATGTATACAAATCATTACAATGCAGTACATGTAGCTATAATATACTACATATAATGTAGTACATGTACACGCTCCTCCATTTATTATCATAAATGAAGGAGCAGAAGCTGAGGTGGGATGTGAAGGGGCATCAGGAAGAAGGGCAGCAGTTAGATGATTCTCTCAAGGTAGCTGGTGCTAAGGCTCCAGTTAGACAGTATCCCTAATTTACACTTTGGTGGTTTTGATCATTCTTCTGATAACTCGGGATTTCATAAGTTGGGGCAGGGAAGAGTGTGTCTAGATATACAAACAAGCAGATAATGAGTCATTTAACAAGTTGTGGAGTAAAAGAGAGATTATCCAGAAAAATGTTTCTTCAGAAGTTAATAACCCAGAATGTTTCCATTCAAAAGATCTTGTGGTCTTGTGCATTTTAAGAGGAGAGAAAGTAATGTTAACAGAAACTGAGTAGTCTGGCTTCCTGCTGTTTCAGTTTTATTTTTGAACCTTAAATCTATTCACAACCAGAGTACCTTTCTGCTTTTACGGTTTATATGTTGCACTAGATCTGTTTATTAGCTTCTCTCCTGCATTACGTTATTCTTTTCTGTTCCTTTATTCCTTCTGCTGTTTTATTGACTTTAATTTGCTTTCTGAGCCCTGCCACAGTCTGTTTCTCTATTCCAATTCGTCTCTTAGCACTCGAGCAGGAACATTCCGAACGTGAATGTCCGCCTCTGTCCCTCCCTTTCCTTGTTTATGTCCTAGATCGCTTTTCTGTTGCGTTGACCAAAATTCACATAGTTCCACCTGCCTTCTTTCTCCTATTATTTAGTGCTGTATCTCCTTATTCCTATTCAGGCTTTTGAGCTTTGAAACGTGTCCTATGATGGGCACGATACTTTTCATCTACTTCTACTGTTGTCAAATTTTACATACATAAACTTTTGTATAGTAAATTCCATTGCTATTTATTTAAATAATATCCCAAGCTAATTTTATAAATGACAAAACAGATATGAGTCCTTTTGTGTGTTGGTTACTGCTAGCCCTGAAGAGAGTTGTTATTCAGAACGCTTTAAGAAGACAAAGCAACATGTGACCATTGATGTTAAAAATACTGCAAATAGCAACACATGATCTAGTCATTGCCACATACCCTCTATTGCCTAACAGTAAGACCTAAAAATATGTTTAGTGAAAAAAGGCTAAACAAAGCACAGTTAGACTGGAGTCTTGGTCCTAATATATTTTGAGTAAATTAATAACTAAACTTTGGCAGAGAAAGTCAGTCCTTGAGATTAGATTCTTAGGCTACCGTCGATGTTGAACAACAAAAATTACATATATCCCTCTGAATTAAAATAAAAGATTTTTAGCTTCAGAAACAGTCACACAGTATGGTGATCAGCTTCTTTTCAGTTCTGTGAGTCTTCCCAGTTTGCTAACAAAAGCACCTCCACATTTTGGCAGTTCATCATGTTTGTTAGCTGAGATATCAATGCCAGTACTTCTGGACGTCATACTGTAATATCACACTGGGGAGGATCAAGAGTCTTGTGTTCTACATGCCTTTTATGCAAAACCACTTGATTTATTCTGGTTCTGTTTTCAATTATGACACGCAGGTTCCTGGGTAGAACTCCACTTCAGCAGTAACGGAAGTGGTAGTGGAAACACAGTGACACCAACAAGCCAAGAGCAAGTACCAGCCTCTATTTCCATTCACAATGGTGACATGGAGAAAATACTCCTTGATGCTCAACATGAATCTGGACGAAGCAGTTCAAGAGAAAGTTCACACTGTGACAGGTAGACATAAAATGCTTTACTAAAAACAAAGTAAAGCTCACAATTACACAAAGCCATTTTTATGTATGAGAGGCAAAGACAGATATAGAAATGCATACACATACACACAAAGGGACAGGAAAACTTCATATTTAAAAGATGGGTATTTAAATGCTGAAGTAAGGCTTGGACAGAAGCCTGTCCTGAAACCAGGAAAAAGTTACAGGCAAGAGGACACTAGAAGACTTCTCACACCTCATGAAGATGACTTCTTGAGGTTTTGGTGTATCCTGACAAAGAAGTTGAGCAGCAGCAGTTGAACTTCCCATGGGCTTATTGATTATGGACAAGCAGTAGTCTTGTTCTAGTAGAAAAAAGAAAGAAAGAAAGAAAGAAAAAAAAAAGACTCGAGCCACTGTATGGCTGTTATTCTAAACAATCAGTCCTTGTGCAAGCAGTGTCAATGCCATTCTGCTTACGCTGCTGCCTGAAACGGGAGCGATAAAGGAAAAGATGATTAAAAAAACCAACTTGTGTTTTGTAAGGAGGTACATATAGTAAAGGAATTCTTAGATATCTAATCGCTTAAAAAAAATCCAATATCTAATTAACCAAATATACAGATTTCTGGAAGTATAATATAAAAAACTATATATCTATATCTGAGGCAAATTGTCAGCCACTTTCTTTTATTCATTTGTTTGACTCTTCTGGGCTGGGAGGTCTGCAGCCTAAATTTTATTTAACCAGAGGAACTACAAGACTCAAATGTACAGTAGGATGCAGAACCTCCAAGTTTCATCTGGCTAGCTCAAATTCAATCCAAAACCCACCATCATCCATCAGTTGCTGCCCAGTGTTACTGAGTAAGTAATGTGGGCCATAGCCACCTTACAGCCTCACAGGCATATCTTCACACTGCTGAAAACCAGCTCTGTGCAGCAAGGTTCTTGGCAGATTTAATTAGGAAATCAAAGATTAACTGAATATGATGGATGAATTACACTGTTAGGTGACAGATAATTGTTTTAGAGATTGTAGATCAGGGCACTATAGCTTCTTCGGGAGAGCTCACGTACAAGCTTCACTCACTAGCTTTTAGTTCACCCCATAAAGAATATCATCATGAAAAAATATAATGAGCTCTTTCTTACTTGTGCTTCTCTTTTTATCGAGCCCTCCTCGTTCCCAGACGCCTCAAGACAGTAACAGAGCTTTGGAAATAGAGAGTCACAGCAGTGGAGAAAAGAATAGCTTTCAGGTAAGAAGCTCACCTTGCTTTAGAGAATGAATCTGTTACTATCATAGTTTGAAAACCAGTATTAGAAACTAAAATATGAGCCTGATAATGCTCTTAGCATAAAGACTTAAGCAGCTGAGTAACTTAGTAACCTAGAATAAACTCTGCAGAATCAGGCTTTATGTGTACTTTTAAGAATATGATCTGCATAGACATTTTTTTTTTTCTTTAATGTTTCACCTGAGACTTTCAGAGGGATTTAGATGCCCTAACCTATTGTCTTTTAAAATGGCCTGGTTTTCAATGCCTCTTTCCAGCCACAAATCAAAATGTTCATCTTCAGAATCTACAGTACCTTTTAGGAAAAAAGATAGTCCAAAAGATAACCACTAGACTAGGATTGAAGAGAGCAGGATTCAACATCTTGCTAAGACTCCAACTTTTTGTGAGCTTGAGTCGTGTTCTGTATCGTGGTCCTCCCATGAAACGGGCATTTTTCTTCCCTACTTAATAGGTCAACTGTGAATAAAGTCTATCAGTGTTTGTAGGACAATTGGATTTTACATTGAGGTCTACATGGAACATATCAATGAGGCATGCATATGCATGCGTATATAGATAAACATTAACGTTGGGCAGATAACCTGCCATGCAGAAGTGTCCTCTTCTTTTGATTGCCAACTTGATATATGTCACAGAACTCCCATAATGAGATTTTACTTGCTTTAAATGTGCTGCCACAGGTGCACTATGAATTAAAAAAGAATAGATTTGACAGCAGCAAGAATTTCTAGTCACTTAAACATGACAGCCAATAAAATACTTTTGAAAGCAGTGCAGCAGCTTTATAATTCCAGTTCATTTCAATAACTAGTACTTAACAGGGACATTTCTACATACTGCTTTGAAAATTCACAATTATTTCCCATTCAACTGTGTACAATTTCTAAAATCTTAAGTCTTCACAGTAATTGGGTACTAGATTTAATATTAAAATTTTTACTTGCAAAACACTTTGAGGATAGAAGTATTAGAACAGCTTTAAGTAAATCTCCCTGCTCTTCCAAAGACTTCCTGTATTAGATAAATTGTTCTCCCTGCGCTGTTTCTGTGCAAAGAGATATTATTATTTTCTCTTTAAATTGATATGTTCTATACCTGTGACTGATTATTGCAAGGTTAGCAAATAGCAATCAAGATTTATATTTCACTGGGGGCCTCTACATCAAATAAATAACAGTGTATGATAGACTGGCAACAATCATCAGCATTAATAATTACTTGTGCCATGATGTACAATGTCATTCCTTTAATTCTTGTAAGAACTCGGCACCTTTACATCTTATTTTAAAAAGACTAATTTCTTCCATCACCTCCCTCTGTCTCAATTACCGTGATTTATCATTTGTAGGTTGGATGCGTGTTGAACATTCTCATCTCAGTGCATCCTTGATGATCTCCTTGGCTGCCTGTAGTCATTTATAGATTGTCTTCTCAGTGTTATAAACTTTCTTTAAAAAAAGGAATGTCTTTGTGTTCAGTGCTTGTACAGCATTTAACACAGTGGGGTTTCAGTTTTTTATTAGAGTTTCTAAATTATACAGCTGTATAGATAATTTTGAGAACTGATTATATATTACATATAACATACTTGGTCCCACAGCTGCTTCTTTTCCCATATAAAACTCTTCAGTCATCTCTACAGCTCTTACAGGAATCTAGCTGAATGGATTATCAGCTTTAGGTAAACTAAATACATATACCATGAATTGTTTCTATGTTATATTACATTATGTTGCATTTCATGTTACCAGAAAACTCCTCATATATTTAAAGTTCATTATGTTGACTATGAGATCACATAATCAAAAGTTATAAAAATGCCAGAAGTGTTTGTTGCCTGGACAATTTTACTTCTGTTCTTAAGTGTATGCGTGTATATATAACTATTTAAATCCTATGATCACATACTATTTTTATCACAAGACTTTGACTCAGTTTAATACATATGCAACAAGCTGCAAATTGCATTCTCCTTCAGTATTTATGCTATATTCACTTGAAAATGAAGCCACCGTTTTTTTGCTGCACAGATTTATGCAGATAGACCTGGCCTCACTTCATCTGTAGTCCAAGCTTCCTTGGTATGAACAAATGCTGGCCCAAAAGCCAAGTAGCTTCATTAGACTAGAATTAGTTTCATTTGGCTTGTATCAGAGATCTTCAGATCACATAAGTATGATATCCTTATAATTTTGAAGGCAAAATGAGAAGTTTCTTTTGCCAAACATCATTCAGATGTGTGGACTTCAGCTATTTTCAAATCCTTTATGTGAGGATGAAATACAAGGCTGTGGAGTTTTGTTTCCAGGGCAGACTTTACTTAAGCAAATATGGCATTTGGTCTCTTCTGTTCAAATCCTGCTCTGAAGAGAGGATAAAGACCCCTTCCCCCACCCCAGAGTCTTTAGCTAGCATCTAAATACTTTACTACAAGCAATACAGAAAAATCATACTGGGAAGAGATGGGAAAAGTGAGTTCCAAAGGTAAAATCTAGCATGTGGGCTTAGACACAGGACACGAGTTGTTTTGCCATAATAATTGCCTAGCCATAAATAGTCCAGTGTATTGTTTGATAATGTTTCTTTGTTTTAGTCTGAAGAAGATTTCCTTGAAAGGAGGAAAGAAGTAGAAAGGCTCTTGAAGAAAAATGCAGACTGGATTTGGGACTGGTCCAGCAGGCCTGAGAACATCCCACCAAAGTGAGTGCTGCCAGTATTTCTGGATGAACTCAGATATGGCTTTTACTTCTGCAGGTCTAAACACATATTCATTAAATGTTGTGTTTATATTTTCTTCCTCAAAACTAGGGAATTCCTCCTGAAACATCCCAGGCGCACAGCCACTCTCAGCATGAGAAATACAAGCGTAATGAAGAAAGGGGGCATATTCTCAGCAGAATTTTTAAAGGTTTTCCTTCCATCTCTGCTTCTTTCTCATCTGCTTGCCATTGGACTAGGGTAAGTTTACGTTTAAAAAAGAAGCACTTCCATTGTGAATTTTTTACCTCTTCTCTGAGGCCTAATTTTCACTCCTGGTTCCCTCTTTGTCTAAAAAGATAAGTGGTACACTTTTCTCCAGAAAAGGGCAACGACTAGTTTTTCCAGAAAGTGTTTCCTACCTGGCTGCTTGTGGTATTGCTGAATGTATCAAGCGTTCCTTCTCAGCTTTTCTTGCTAGTTAAGAACTTTTCAAAAGGAGACACAGTTTAAATATATATGAACTATAATTATAATTACATAATATTCAGTTCCATGGGAGGATTGAGTTTTAATCTAAAAACTAATTGCAAAGGAAGAAATGATTATCATATTTTAAAATTCCACAAAACAGGAATTGATTTTTCTTTAGATGATTAAGGGTTCAGATTGTCCTTCTCCTTTAAAAATATCTACAGGATGCAAACTAAAGTGAAGAGATTAAATGTCTTTTAGTCAGGAGCAGAGTTTGCCTTTACCTAAGCATGCCAGATTCCTAGATACCTGCAAAGAACATTGGGAGTCTAAGCATATCTGTCTCTCTCCCATGAGTGCGCTTTACCACACAAGAGGGCTTTGGGGTAGAGTCCTGAGGAGATGCCCATTTTCCAGAGAACCTTCCCTTAACTCTGGTCCTGCTCTTTCTCTGCTCGCTCACTTGCATAGATCCTGAACCCTTATCAAGGCTGCAAAAATTTAGAGTGAGGGGGATGCAAGAGACAGAATGCCTCAAATTCTGTCTTTTAGGGAAATAAAGCAAGTCGTTTATTACTTAAAGCATAAGAGCTAGTTCTAATTTAACACACCAAATGAAAAATAGTTGTGTTCTTGAAAAGTTGGTAAAGATTAGGATCAGATGCAACATAAGCATGCCAATACTATTTACATGAATCTCAGTCCCAGCTTTTCAGTATTTCTTCCTAAGTATAATTTTCTTATTCTTTCTTTTGAAACATACAGTTTGGCAGGTTAGCAGGGCCAGACAACGTACAGGAGAAACGAGTTCTAAGGAACAAACGTTTCACTAGCATGCACGCAGCCTTGGAAAAGTAGACAGGAGGACTATGCAACTACAGTAATCAGAAAGAAGGACAAGCCCTGTCTTTATCTTAGACTTTTAGAATGCGTAGCTGGGGGGTGCATGAAGGCACCGATGATCTTCCTATTCAAAAAAATCAAGATCTCATCCACATAATATTGTGGAAACAGCATGAAACCAATTCAACTTTCTTACCTCCTTCCAAAATTAAGATGAGTAACTGCACAACACAGAACAAAAGCATACTGCAGTTTTCCTTTCAAAATGAGCCCAAGTTTTGTAATGTTAAGTATTTACTTTCTTCTTGGTGTCTTCCACCGTTGCTACAATCTTGCAGCATTCCAATTCAGTAAAGAATAGCTAACACAATAATCATTTTTCATAAAGTGCTTAATGTAAAAGCAGTTTAAATAATTACACTTCAAAATAGTCATTTCTTTAAGCTGCAGAAAATAAATGAATATAAGACATAGGGCGTTTGTGAAGGCATACCAAGATGGGAAATGACGACTGAAAAAATAGTAAGAAGTACATGAAGATGACAGTAAAATGAGGTGTTTAGAAATGTTAATGTTTTTCCTTTTGTCATCTTACTTATTTAGCAAATAGAAAAAATTAACAAGATAATCGACTTCAGAAAACTCCTGAAGCAACATGATCTTGTTAATGGCATACTTACCTGACTTTTGCATTCCTAAAACTAAACAGGTATAACAGCTTACACAGAATAATTCTGCCTTAGAATATAGGGAGCGTTACCAGACAAGGGTAAGCAACTGAAAAGCGAGTTTTATGATAGACACTTTGTTTTGCTGTCTTAATTAGAGCAGGCACTGCTGCTCCTGCTGCAAATTACGTACCTAGTAAGGGGGGGAGGGGAGAGGAAGTGTTCCTTAAAAGCTCTACATTCCTTTTAAAATGAAACGCAGTGCTTACTGACCATACATTGTTGGCCCTCAGGATTTACATTGGAAGACGCCTTACAACCACAGCTTCAAGCAGTACTTTTTAAGGCAGGTGAAATCCAGTTTCAAGGCGAGGAAAATATTCATCTGGGAATACAAGAGGTGAACAGCAGAAACTTACATGCTAGCAATAGCTACATGATCCGTGTGCATCTGTTCCGTAAATGTCGTGTTCCTAGTTTAGTAAGAGTGAGAGAAGAGATGCTAAAGCTAAGGTATAACAACATATAGTCTTCTGGATCAATTATAAAGCATGTTTCAGACAGATTAACAGCTGCTATATTGCTTCATAGTAAAATATCTTTGAAAATCAAAAAAACGTGATGCTTAAAAACAAAACCTTAGCTTTAATATAGCAATCGCGATTCAGCTAGATCTTCATCCGAATTGCTGTTTCTTTATACTTCATAAATGCAATATTCTTCACTGCTGATGTAATCATGACAATAAGGGATTCGCCCAAAAGAATGTGTGGCCTTATGTAACATAAACAGTGATTCAGAGAAAGCTTTTACCTCATTTGAGGCAATTCCTCATTTGCTTAAGATTTTGCTTAGCTCTTTTTTCATTTTATGTGAGACCTGAAATGTTAAGAGACACGATCAGCTTGAATAAACTAACATATCTCTAAAACTTCACCAGTTTTTATTAGTTCAGAATATGATCTACAGCAGCCTAAATTATTTGAACCTTTGTGTCCAATAGTTTTTTGGCAAAGGCTGTTACTTAACTCATAAATTAATAGAAGTTCCTTCTGTTGTTTCTTCTTGCAGACCAGTGCTTCAGTCTTTTTATCTGCAAAATAATAAACTTGCATCTTAAACTTGCCTCATCCCTGTATAGATTTGAAAAAGTTTGCTTGCTTATTTGTTTTATTAAGGGAATGCATTTTCATTCAATAATTTTATCTTGTTTAATGAAAAACCACAGATGTTTGCCAAATTATCATAAGTTTTATATGTTTAAATAAAAAGGTTCCTCATGGATGCAGTTTTCTTTTTTCTCTAAGCATTTAAAAATAATTGCTGAAAACAGTGTTAGATATCATACAAAGAGCCCTGTCTATTGTCCTCTAAAGCAGGACAGTTTCACACTAAATTTATTGGCATGACTGGCAACTCAGTAAGAAGTTTTTACATAAAAAAAATTTCATTGCCAGTTCTTAACTTTGAATAATGCTAAGCTGTCACTGGAAGCCAATCAGTAAATAAGTCACTGAACTTTCAAAGATATGTTTTACTTTGTACCAGCATTATCATTTAAAAATAAACTTGCTTTCTACTTAGCATGGTTGCAGGACAAAAACGGAGTTGTTCTTCTGTGCTCAAAAGAGAACTGCAATGTTCATTAAAAAAAAAAAAATTTGCTTATCAGTTAGGGGGGCACCTTGTAATACCATAGAGGGTTCGTGCCCTGTCATCAAATCACATCATCACAGGTGGAGTAGGCTGTTGTTACACAGGCAAAACAGTGGCCTTATGTGGGCTGCAGTCCAGCAGAGAGACATGCTTAACTTTCCATAGGATTGCTTCTATAGAGGCCATTGGAAATTCTCACATGTATTAATTTAAGCACATACCATTTATAGGAAGAACAGGTTCTGTCTTTGCATACTGTATATCTATGTATACAAGAGAACTCCATTTACAGGATTATTTTATTTCTGAATAATATTTACGATAGAACAAGCATGTGATATGAGATACAAATAACTAACTACAGTCTCAGTTGAGCCATGCGTGAACAATCAGTTGATAAATTCCTTGCATATATCTTGTAATTAGGAGCAAAACTGCAGTGGAATTAAACCTGTTTAAAATAGTCAGTGTTCTCCCAAAACAGTATTAAAAACACATTGATATTTGGTAGTTCAGTCAGCTTCTTCCTCCCCCTTGATAAAAGAGTAAGAATTGTGTTTTTTTAAATGCACTACTATGTATAAATTTAAAGAAAATATAGATTGCATAAAAATACTGCTAGAAAACCCACCAGCTCCTTTCATAGTGCTTTCTAGCCATAATCCCTTGTTACCGTGACCACAACTCCAGCATTCTTTCCTTCAGTGACTAAATTCTCTCTGGTATGGTGAGAAGTCTTGACTATTTGCAATATTCTTTCATCCCAGAGGCGTTTGCAGATGGTCAGCTTTTTTCAGATTATGCACAATGAATGAAAGTTTTTAGAAGTCGTTATACATTTACTTTTTACTCCTCCTTAATTTATATTGAAAGAAAAGAAAGCAAAGTATCAGGGGTACTAATGATGTACTCAGTACCCGGAGCTCTTTGACTTACACAAGGATCATAAAGACATTATCACTTTATTTACCCACATTTTTAGGATCCTCATTCAGACAACCTACCAGTCAATATATTATCCACTGTATTCATATAACATGCCAAAGGTGACTGGTACTCAACTTCAGAAAAAGCAACATTGTATAACACTTACAATCATCACCTGGGGGACTTCTGTATCAGAGGTTTATATCTTTAGTAGCAAATTCTTAGGCTGCCCTGAGCCAAACTAAATCAATATATAATTATTTTTAACAAGACTAAAAGAAGCAACGGTCACCACGGTTTCATTAAACTAACAAATGTTTAACATAATTACTGAAATACTGGTTAAGACATTTTTACAGATCTATATCCGTTTTCTATGGTCAAGTGTTTGTCTTTTGCCTATGCGTTTTCAATGTTGATTTCTGTGATACTTGCAAAGTTTGTATGAGGCATCTATCATCAACAGCGTTATCGTGCACAGGTCTCTCAAAAAACAACAGTGGAAAAGTCGTGTACTGAAAGATATGGTCTAGAAATCTCTTAATATGCTAGTAATTCACAAAAATTGCACTGAAGACTTAGCCATTTTATCCTCATATGTAATACCACAGGAAACAAAATTCAATCAGCAGTGTTGCACCTCAACTAATTTTCTTTTAAAAAGCCCTCAATAGTCATAAATAATAGACATAAATAAGTAGCACTTTTAGGAACAGCACAGTTTCAGTATGAAGAGCTTTATTTTTTTACAGAGACAAGAAGAAAGAACTTATTTCCAAGTTTAACTTACAGGCATCCAAACAGTCTAGACAGTCCCGTTTTCTCTTCTTCCACTTTGGATTCTTGGGACAGCTCGTTCTCCTCCAGATGCTCAGCCTTGCCAAGTCGGGTGCTTTCTAGAGCACTTCGGGTGGGTTTCATCCTTCCTGATGTAGGTCGCACACAAAGAACATACAAGAGGACTCTTCTGGATCCTGCAGGCACAGAGTAGAAAACAGTACTTAGAGTTTTGTAGGTGCAACTGATAAATACAGCATTGTTCTTCAGGTTACAAAATATGATCTGAAGGTTTGGGACAGGTCCTCAATCGCTAAGGTTATCCATCTGGAAATTAATCGGATATGGAAAACAGAAATCAAGCACTTGGGGAAGTAACTTTTGGAGAACTTGGCTGCAGGAATAAATATGCATGGCAGCTGCCTAAAGGTTTTACAGAATGAAGATATTACTGCCTTTCCCAGCAAATATTCACAGAAATCATTATTAGTGGGAGGCAGAACTTAGAAATCGGCTCACTTCTGCTCAAAGCATGCAGTGGTTCACGTTACAAACTAACAGTGGAAATATTAGCACAGGCATTGAGGCTAGGGAAGGCATCTGTCTTGCTCTGCCTTCTGTTCAACATTCATGCCAGGAACATGCACTATACAGAAAAGAACTATTACATTGCTGATACATGGTCTTGATTTTGGAAAGGCGGATTCCAAGACTTCCTTCCATTCACCTGCTGAAACTCAGAATTGACGCTTTATCAGTTTTAGACGCTTGATTCACAAGAACTTTAAAATGGCTGAAAAGCTATTGCCCTTCAACATGAGAATTTAAAATAACTAAAGAACTACTACTCCAGCATTAGCTGGACAATTGCCTAACTATGTCTCTAACGCGCTGAGCTGGCATAACCTGCGACTCCATAGCATTGTGCTATCTCGGTTGTTAAAGGCCCACAGGACTTTGTGACCGCAGAGGCTAGGGCGGGATGGGGAGAGGGGCAAAGGGAGGAACTCACTACAGAAAATCCATGAAAGATGGACACAAGATTTGTGTGGACACAACCACACAGATTTTGTTAAGGCACCAGAGAGCTTTAGCCAGAGTACACACTCAGAAGGAAGACTGTGCTATTCAAAGCAACGTTTGTCATGGTCTTTTTTAATGTTCTCAGGCTTAACCAGCTTACGCCACAGGCGGTGGGGAACAGGTGCAGGGCCCACCGAGGAATCACAGCATGCATAGCTTTACGCAAGAAATACTGTCACTGAGGCTGCGGTATAAAACAAAACAAAACAAAAAAAACCTTACCAAACAAAAAGGAAGTCATGAAAAAATTATTATGAATCCAGGCATTTTCTACAGTCTCTTTTATCAACGGCTTTCCAAGGCATGCAGGAGAAGGCCGTTCTTTCTCCAGAAGCCTAGCAACTTAGCTGAGCAGCAAGCAGTTTGTTGCAGTTTTAAAGTAGTTTTTCTACATGGGTTTAAAGCTTTGTATTTTCGCATGCTTTGCTTTACTAGTGGGATGTTATATCACCAGCAGCAAAGAGTAGGCTCAAAGGCTCAAGCCATCGGGTACTGGAAATCAAACTGCAACACATATCGGTATACTTGCCAAGCTGACTGCTCCTGAGACACATGGGATGCATTGGCATGTATCATTTGCAGCTGCGGAGGACACTGAGGATGGTCACTGCCTGGGTCTGTGGTAAGCTTACTGTACAAGGGCCACCATCAGACATCAGTGAAGGTAAAGACAGTAGTTGAGCTCTAAGAACAACAGTTTCTACGATGACAGCACAGAAGTGACTTACTACAAAAATCAGTTACTGCTATTTCTACAGGCTCTTTCTACATCTTTCATACTCTGCAGTGTTCAGAGAAGGAGATTCACTTCGAGGAGCCTCTCATTAACACTTTCTGGAGTGGGACATGTTCTCTGTCATGTGTCTGAGGAAAGCTGCAGAGCTGAAGAGCCTCCCACAGCATCCCACTTCTCCCAGTTGTCATGCTATTCACTTCAAGGACAACAATTTTATGGTTTCCACAAGCTAAAGTTATAGATTTGAAGAAACATAACTGAAATCACTTAATTCAGCCACATCCATAATTGGGTTGATCAGATGTGCATGATACAAAATCAGTGGGGAGCCACTACATTGGCACATGGGAACAGGTGGCAATATTGGAGAACCCAAGTGATTGACCACCCATCAGTCAGATCATTTTCAATACAAAGCTATGGCTTACAACTTGGTTTAGATGCTGGTAATAATACTTGCTTCGTAATACCCGAGGGACTGGAATTGGGCAGAAATTAGCATCAAGGAGCGGAGGGAGATTTGCGAAGTACTGATGCTTCCTCTAGAGAGCGTCTAGGGGAAGAGGAGAGAGAGAGGAGTTAGCTCCCAGACATAAATCAGGACAGGGTTTTACTGGTGGGCTATTCACACACCAACTACTCCTCTGTTAGAAGCTATGCCAACTGCAGAAGCTTGTCTGTGCCAAAGGTATGGGTGGGGTAGGGAAATCACTCTACTCCGAGATGAAGATGAGAGCTTGGAGTTGAAGTTAGGAGTGCTATGCTCTTGAGATGGCTCCCTCAGTCCCACCTTTTCATCATTACTCATGACCAGAGACGGCTTAAGTCTTACAGCACAATGGCTGTTACACCCTTATTTATAGCACATATACTTCACGTCTGCATTTCTACAAATAACTTGTCTGTCCAGCCAGTCGTCGAAACAAAGGGGTCACCGTGTTACTCAGGAGTACTTGAAAAAGAACATGCTAACATGACCTCGTTTCATTTGGTTCAGATTTCTCAAGCCTTTTTTGATTCCTGCTTTACAAGTCCCTCTTCCCCTCCCAAATTAAAAGCATCAAAACAGCTTCACATTCACCTTTGAGGAACAGCAATAGCTATATATTTGCTTTGGCTTTCACAAGGGTTTCTTAGCTACAGCTAGGGTAGAAAGATGTATGAAAACATTTGTTTTCTATATATTCTATTCTTTCTGATATATGGAAAAAAAAGTTTTTTTAGCAGCCATCATCATCATGCATTTTAGTTGTCACTGTTAGAAGAAATACATTACAAGGGTGAATTAGAAGAAGTTAGTAGAAGAACTGCTACCCCATACAGTTTCCTTCCTAGGAACAATGCTGAAGTGGCAATACATTAACCTAAAAACAGGCAAGTATCACTTCGCCTTTTTTCCTTTCTGGATTTGTTAACTTTCACACAGACGCAAAGACAACCAACTTACTTTAAACCGCAGGCCAACCAACCAACAAAACTGTCTCTATTTGTATGCCACTCTAATTGCTTAAAGCAAAACGCTTGCTAAATAAGCATTTTGAAATATTATGCAAAACAGTAAAATTAATACTAATCAAGGCTTACTATGGCTTCTTAACACTAGTTTTATAAGCATTACAAAGTCAGGCCAAAAATGTCATAACAGGAAAGACCTCTGTTTCACAAAGGCGTTAACTAGACAGTTATATATATGTCCAATCAATGGACACAAAGGTAGGCAGGCATTAGCGTGTCCCGTGGTCTCCACAGCAAATGTGTTGTGTTAGCTGTTTATATACATTTGGATACAACACCTTTGTATATGAATACAACTTAATTTTGAGCGTCTAGAAAAAGCCTCATACATTTTTGCATTGAGTTACAGCTCGCTCTTCTGAATATTCAGACACCAGACAACCATCATTCAAAACAGCGAACAGTTTTGAATAGGCCTGTTTCTCTAAACTAAGGACTGATTAACACGTGGACCAATTTTACCTGTGTTATGTCTGGCTAGAGCAATGTTTAAAGACTCTGGATGCAAAGAATAGGACCACAATGTACTGTGAAAAAGGAGGTATTTTAAATACAGCTGATCAATTTATATCATGCTGAAGACTAATGATCTGCAAAGAGCAGCTTCTGGCTCCCCCTCTCCTACCCCTCACTGCCTCCAGCCTTCTGACTATATTTGGCGTTTGCAAGGTGGAGAGATCAAACAGAAAGAGTAGCGACTCACTAAATTTTCCAAGACAAATTTCTTAAACGTTTCCCTAAAGTACTTCCTTGTGAATTTGGATGCACAGGGCTTTTGATCCTGACTACAGCCTGTGATCACAACTAGACACCCAGTGACTACTCGGCTGTGAATTACTGTTCACAAGAAGCTGTTCGCTTATCTTCAAGTTTTCATTCATTGAAAATGGGGGGATTGTCCCCCACCCTCAAACAACAATATCTAGATAACCACAGCTTAAGTGATGGATCCTCACTGTTACTGTCCCTGAAACCATTCTAATAGCCAGCAGTTAAAATATTTGAGAAGAGGGAAAAAAAATTATTGAGTGATGCAGGAGTAATTTTGGACATAGGAAAGTATTCCTCGCTCCCCTTTCTGTAATTTCAGGACTGGGCAGTTGCATGGGAAAGAACTTGCATGCCTCTGTCACAGAGGGTCTGAAAGGTTACTTAATTTCTAGATATGGCCTTTGGATAGGGTATAAAACAAGGACCTTCGGTCAAAAACCAGACAGAAATGATTTATCTGACTCTTGAACCTAGAAATAGCACTTCCTAGGAACAACAGCATATTACAAAAGCCTTTGTGAGAAGGACCATACAAAGTCCTTTTCAAGCTTGAAAAGGACAAAAAAATTTAACATTTAACAATTTAACAGTCCCCACTGAGCAGTAAGCTTTCTTTACAAAGGCAAGGTCTGTTTTTGTCCTTTTAGCTTTTAGAGCATAACGGCCTTACCTTAGAGCACGTTCGCTGTGAGGATCTCCATCCTAGTGGTTGAAGCTCCAGCAGCTCAGTCCTCCCTTCCTACTGGAGAGGAAGCAGCGCACATCAGTCCAACACAAAGCCTGGGACTCTGAAAGACAAGAGCCATCCACCTGGGGAGCAGGGCAGAGCTCTTGCTCTGAACCCCTGAGGACTTCCTACTGGATCTTGCGAGCTTGACCCAATGCTAGAAGCACTCCTCTGTGCTGGAGGCAGAGGCAGATCATGTGAGAAGTGCCACACCTGAGAAGACAGATGATTATGGCCTTGCTTTGTACAGTGGAGAGAGATTTAAAAAAAAAAAGATGAACTGAAAATGCTACTTCTACCCCACAGAGAATGAAGTTACTAAGCAAAATAATTAATATACCAAACCATGGAGGAAAACCCTTAAGACTGAGATAGTAGCTGGCAGTTAGTCCCTGGAGTTTTAGTAAAACATTTTATAGCCTCAAAATCCCACCACATATAGCAGGCATGATCCATTAACAACAAATAAGAAAGGAGGCTGAGCAGCACAAAAAACTTTTCCCTCCCTTCCCTTTTTTTTTTTTTTTTTTTTTAAAACAGAAAGGCCAAGAACTTGAGAAACAACATGTTCTTCCACAGAACTTGAAACGTCTTATCAGTCTGAATGAAGACTGTCACGGGAGAAATTAAAACCCTCACAAAATTCCAACACATGTAATCTGTGCTTACTAACATAGCTAAACTCCAAACTGGGCACGAGAGAATTTCAGTCCTTACCTAAGGACACTAGTTCCTTCAGTTTAACTCTCCAGTCTAGCTACTAATCTGCAACTGAAGTTCTTCATACCCTGCAGATTTAAGTTAACATAGGTATCAGTCTTCTCTGAACTTCCTCTTCTGATTTCCTTTACCCAAGAAATTAAAGTACAAATTAAGTGACTGGAACTGTTAGGAAGCACAGTTTATTCATAAGCACAGCATTTCAAAATCCATGCATTTTAATCATTCGTCATTATACATTATATGCACTTTCAGAAGAGAGACAAAAATAATATGTATTATGTCTACAGTTTAAGGTAACTCAGCTCTGCCAAGTATCAGTTTTTGCATTGTTAGCTATGGACGCTACTCAGCTTAGTTGGCTTTTTCTAAATGCGAGTGCTTCTCTCCTTTGTTCCTTCCTGTACTCTACAACATGTAACTGAAGGTCAGCATCTAAATGAACATAATCACGTGCATGGAGTTTGATTTCCTTGACTCTGAAAAACATCGACTCCATGTTCTGCTTTTCAGAGACTATGTATCAACTTCGGGGGGGGGGGGGGAAGAAATCAAGCCCTCAGTAGAGGCACTTAAGGCTATATTTACTTATTTAACCTTATGAATTTGTTTTTTTTCAGAGCCACTCAGCATTTTCATAAGAAATTCAGGATTTTTTTGTTTGTATGTTTTTCTGTATGGTTGGACTGACATAGCAAAATGACAATGAAAATTAAAGTTTAATCTTAAATCGCATTTTTTCCAATTGTAAAAATTAGCCCGAGAGGAAGTAACAGAACTTTCAGCAGGTTGTTAAGTCTTCCTCTCAGTGCTTTATCATCTCCTAATGAGTGTAACAGTTATCACAGATGCCCACATTCTGCTTACTACGGAGCAATTATGCTGACAATTTAAAACATATGCATAAGTGAAGAGAGGACTACACAAAAGAGTAAAACATTAAACTATTTCTCAAGTTTACAAAAACAGTCTTTGATACAGTGCTCGTTAAAACCTAAATAACTGGGTATTATCAATATCTTCATATCAAAACAAACAATTGGTTAGAAGTTTCAAAATCTTACCTGTATATGCTAGTACAGATCGTTTCAGCTGTTCTACTTGAACAGATTTCTCTCTCCTGAAGTTATTTCAATTGCAAGAAATATTTCCAAAACAGTAGTTTCATACTTTTTATAGAGCTGACAACCTGCCAGAATGCGTGTGTAGAGATTTTAAAGCATTAATGCCAAATACCATATATCTAATGCTAATGCAATATTCCTATTGTTTGTGTTATAGATTCTTCATTTATAAAATATACTATTTCCTAGAAATCAACTGTTCAGAGTATTTATGTACTAGGAATACTGCGGTGCTCTTAAAAACTGGTAACAAAAGTTAGAAAGATGTGATCAAGACTATTTCAACTTGAGTGAACTTTTACAAACCACTTACAAATACCTAGATGTTACTTATTTCATTGATCTCTTTACGGTGGTTTTATGCAAATGGCTAAAACTGAAAGAATGATAATTTTATCAGGTCAAACTAACAATAAAATTTGTTTTTAAATAAAATGAATGATGAAAATTTCATGAATCAAAAACTATTTAATTGAAAGAGGTACAAGCAGATCATGGTTTTTTTATATAATAGAAGATTTTATCATATCCTTTTTCTTTTTACTCATATTCCACTTACATTTGCTGAAAAAATAGATCAAAAATAGACAGCACTGATATATTCACCAAATATGAACAGACAGCTTTCTGAGTTAGAGGTACGACCGTTCAAAAACTAACCATTTAAAATAGAAATACAAACAACCTTCAGGTTGGCTAATTTGGCCAATTATCTCACAAAAGGAAAAAAAAAGTTGTCAAAATACACAAAGCAAGTCCAGGTAAACATTTAAAATTTATTAAACTTTTTGGTCAAAATAATTGAACAAGTATGTACAATCCCATTTTATTAGCTCTATTAGGTATTTCAGGAACAAGGTCAAATCTAATGCTTTAATGACCCAGAAGTTCCACATTTCAAGATTTGCAAATAGTGTCACAACCAATATACAGTATAAGTTTTTTTTTTTTTTTTAAATTTAAACTTTATTTGTAGAACCTCAAAGTTAGTTGTTGTACTTACTAGCTTACTGTGAACAAGAGTGGCACTCTATGGACATTAATTGAGAGGGTAGGAAAAGAGACATTTTGCTCTTGCATATGCATATCTGATTTAGTAATCATAATACACCTTCATTTTATTAAAAATGGAGTGTAAACCACACTTCTGTATTTCCTCTGGGAATCTCAAAGGATCTAACTTTTCATAAAGAATTTCTAATTTGCAGGCACATTTTATAGACTGCAGCTTCTAGCCACTTGATGCTACTAAAACGTGCTGCAATAATTTCAGGAACAATTTTACACCCATGCAAGTCTAGAGAAGGTTGAATGAATGAATTTTAGGCCTCTTTGGAGAGAAAAAAAAAAAAAAGTACCTAAGGCTTTTAAAAAAAAAAGTTAGCAATAACAGAGATACAGTAACAAATGCAGGAAACATCAGCTTGCATTTTCAGTATTTTCCAACCTCTTGGTACTAAAGTCAGAACGTGCTAAAACGTATTAAGCTGTGTTGCTGCTTGACATAATCAAGATAATTTTTTTTTTGCTGGCTTGAACTGCAATGTGAAATATAATATATTATGCCAAATATTTAAAATAAATCATATCTTCAAGACAAATACTAAAAAAGTTAAAAAACATAATGCACATAAGGTATGTCTCTAACATTAAGAGGCATCAGACAAACCGAGTTTTCATCTTCAAAGAAGAAATTTTGTTAAATGTTTTGTTTTCCTTTCTGTGCAAGGCAGTCACTTTCTATTAAGGCTGTGGATATCTTTCTACTAACCTTTTCAATCTCCTACTTGGTATGCAGATAGCATTTTACAAAAACAGTGCAACTTAAACTAAATGACAATTTTATGGAAACTAAATTCAGAATTTGAAATACTACACAAAAATGTTCAATCAGTCTGCCAAAAATCAGTGTTTTGGGACAAATATTGTCAAATCTGCCCATCAGAATTATTTTGCACAATCTCAGTACATGCAATAAAAAAAATAAAAAGACTGAATACATACCTTCAGATTTAAAAACACTTTTTATAGCTTGTTATTTTATTAAGTGGTTTACACCAGAAGGTGTGGTTATAGATACAGTTGGTGAGTAAATATTCATGGAAACCTGTCTACGAACCCAACTCAAGACCTACCTAAGTGCTCAAAGGTAAAAACACCTAAGCCTAGATACAGGCCAGAGGAGGAATGTTTACAGGCATTAAGCACAATATATGTTTCAAAAGGCCCAAATATTACAGCAGAGAAAGAGCGAGAGAGATAGAAATTACATTTTTATGACAACTTTTCTTCTTGGGTGTTAAATTTTTGGTCTATAAACTGGAAAGGAAGGCTCAGACAAATAAATACATTTGTTTTGAGTATTGGCCTTATTGAGCACTGTCCATCAATTCTGCTTCTAGAGGGTTTCTCAGAAAACTGCAACTCACGCTCCCTACCCCCGCTGAAGGCAGAACTACACCATGAACTCAAAAAACAGGCCAGATTCTCTCCTTTATCTAAAGGGAAGTAAGTGCATCAATGTTCTTCACTGGTAGGACAACAAGGCCTTCTCTTTTACAGATAAACAACTGAGCTTAACTATGCAAGAAGACAACTCTGTCCTCAAGTGAGTTATCTTTAGTTAATTTTGTCCTGGAATATATACAAATTATTGGTGGCAGCTACAGCAATGATGTTCTCCATGGGATGCCATGCTGTATGAAGAATCTTCTTGTTGAAGTCCAGACTGTCAACGCTTATTTCATCTTTCTTTCTTTTACCACCCGAACACACTTTACGTGGCTTTAAGATGGCACGAGGTTTGCTGCTCTCCCTGGATGCTTCCAAAGTGATATCCCGTCGCGTGTTCCGGTCAAACATTCTAAAGAAATTGTTGTACGATCCAGTCATGATAGCACTGTTTAAAAACAGAAGAAAGAAGTCTTCTATAATTGTCTCCAGAAATAATATTCCATCCTATCTTGTCTTACACACAAGGTGACTGTCAGATCAAGTTCACTGGTAAAGTGCATTTGGCATGATGCATTTTTCCTCTCTCATATATACTTTTCTTCAGCTCCGTTCAGGCATTAGTACGCTCCCACTCCACTACTTTTTCTTCAAGGTCTTGTCCTGGGGTCCCCCCCTCCTTCCACCAGTATTCAGCAGCACTCTTAGCCTTAATGTGAGAAAAGTGGGCTTTCCTATTCCTACTCTATATTTTTATCCTGCAGCACTGGAAGTCATGGTGGAAGCAAAGGCCTTGGAAAACTACTTACTTTAAGCACAGTATCGTCTATACAAGTCCCTTCCTCTGCACAGTACACATGCTGACCATGAACAAATGTATTAATCACAGAAATTTTTCCTTGAATCACAGAAAGAAACCCCTTACGTGAATACATGATGCAGCCCTTCAGAAACAATTTAGGCTCACTATACAGTACCAAACTTGCTTCTGAATAGGGCAGAAAAAATTTGCTTCTTAAAAATGCTTTCAAGTATCTAACTTCCAATGAATAGCTTGCTTGTAGCTTTCGCAAAACAGTTTGTTTGAAACTTAGGCTTCAGTATTCATTTTTTGTGTGTATGAACACTTATCTCCTACCACCTGAAACTGAAAAAGTCATTTTCCAAGAGGCAGAAATCCCCCTGATTGTTAAAATGTCAACCACCTCAGCCTTGTCATCTTATTTGTTAATACATGTTGCCTTCATTACATTAAAAAAAATCCTAAAGACTAGGAGCCAAATGAGATACTATCAACACAAAATATATTACTCAGGTACGCTGACTGGAAGAATTTTTTGCATTTTCAAAGGGAGGAGAGCATCACAAACTATGACAACTTATGTTTTTATTATATGTTACATAAGTGAGTAAACCTAAACTTGATGATACTTTGACTTTTTTTTAAATATAAAGTTGAAGTGGAATTGCTTTAAAAAGAAATTTAGAAATAAGGGTCAGTTTCATTGCATTTTAGCAGAGCTGAAGAACATATCTCTCTTATATATTTTCTATTAGATACTGTAAACACTGCTAATATATTTTTTTTAACTGGACTGATACAGTATGATTATTTCCTCGATGAAAAAAATAAACACAACTCCACCCCTGTTACTAACTGTTGAAGTACCTCCTTTCAAGTAATAGGCTATTTGACTTTATTGACTTGACTTTATTGACCCTGGAAGTCATTTTCTTCTTCTACTTTTAAATCAGATTGTTTACTTACCAAGTTAGTACACAAGTGGCATATAGCAGTACACGTGATCGCAACCATCGCTGCAATAGCAATGTAGGTAGGCTTGACTTTGCTAACTCCTGTATACAGCTTACTAGACTTGACTCCCCTGATCACTATCCTCTTCTAAACCATGTGGTGGATCTTTTGTTCTCCAAAATATGATAGCTTTAGGTCAAAGCTTGTTTCACAGGCTGATCCTGTTACCATCAAATCAAAAACTAACACCTTTTCACTAAACAGCTTTCAAGTACTTGGTGGCAGACAAGTCACTGTTTTAAATCTCAGATATATTCATAAACCTTCTACCAAAAAAAAAAAAATTCCCCCAGACAAGCCAACACAAAGTATCCAGATATAAGAGGCAGATCTGCCACAGTATCATCCAGGGGTTATAAACACATTTTAAAAGACTAATATCTGACATTACTGTATCTACTGACAGGAAACATGCACAATTTGGATCAATAAAACTGGCTTTGCTATTTGATTACAATGCTTCCACAACTTGCAGTCAAGACCAGCGTTTCCACTACTCTGAACAAACACTTACCTAATACTGTTTTAGCTTCCTTCAGCCTACAGAAAGCACAAGATATAATTTACTAAAACATTGAATGCACATTATTGTATACCTTTTGAAAATAAAACCGAGTGTCCCATTTTCATGGCTTAAGGCTTGAAATGGAAAGTCTTGACTATACAAATCTTCAATAATGATTCAGATTAGAAACAAAATGACAAGCAAAGATTTATTCTGCTCCTGTAACTTGAGGGTGGAAGACTTACAGCTGAAGTCTTCTTGCAAAGTCAGTTCATTTGAATGCAAGTAATGAGATCATTAAAGCTAACGACCGGTTACGGGTTATGTGTTTCAAGACCAGATAATAAATTCCTAAGGGGTGAGGGAAAAGATGAGAACACACACACACACAGAGAAAACAAACACCTTACCTATCAGAACCATTCCAGCAGCATTCAAACTTGTCAAAGATGCAGTCATTTTCATAAAGGGAACAAAGCTTGCTTCGAAGATACTCATGAACCTTTTTGAGACATTTAAAAAGGTATTAGAGAGCTTTAAAGAAAAAGGGGGAGGGGAGAGAACATTTAAGAAAATGTGACCGTCATACTTGATATGTCTCTACAGGCCTGTTTTCCATATTGAGATCCCATACTTTAACCGAAAGGTAGTCTCTCGTCATCATGTATCGACCACTGTGACTGAATTTTACGTCAGATATCGATGATATTATTTCTGAAAAAAATGATCTGCTGCTAGGATCTTCAGGTTCTTCAAAAACTGTAGATAAAAGACACAATTACTAATGAAAACAACACTAAGCTCTACAGCATCCAGCACTTTCAGTATTTACACAATTTTAGTCATAATGCTAGTTTCTTTTAAAATAAGGTTGCTGTTGAACAGTCTTTTTAATTAGTCTCTTTTTGAACAACGTTAGGCTCCTAGTCATCAGTTTGCTAGATGCCAATCTCCAACATATTCTCAAATAGAGCACAGCATCAGCAAGCTACAATTCAGAGATCTTAGGGATGAATGAGAGAAGAAAAATTAAAAAACAGTGCATGAGTACAATAAACATAACGGATCTACAAAATACGTTGAATAGCAGGAGAAAACATCAGCACCCCCAATGCAAAATATCGCATGACCTGTGTATTTTGAGATAGTGATATATTTTTATTTACATCCAAAAAGTTGCACACCACAATCTATTGAAGTGAAATATTAGTATCAAGTATCAACTTGACATGCAATTGGTATGGTTTTAGAAAGCAGATAAAGAAATATATTATTTGAGCATCATAATCGTTGAACTCAATGTTTCAAGATACAAGCTATCCAGAACTAGCTATATTTTTAAAAAGACCCTTTTTATTAGGAAGTTATTCAGTGAAAAACAATTTAAAGTAAATTTTAACGATTAAGTTTTAACAACTAATAAAATAACTAATTTTAAGTAATAGCTTCAATTAAGTCAAACCAGCTCAGCATTACATATCTCACATTGCACAAATACTTCTTTCCACCAACATAAAATTTTTATCTTCGCTATAGAAAGCTTACCTGCAAATATCAGTACGGTACGTCACCCCACAGGGATAGTAATACAAATAAACCACTACTACTACAGCAGTGAACAAGAAACAGTAGGCTGTGTGCAAGGCATTGGCAGTTTTTCTTACCACTGCAATACATATGCTTTCCTCACCTACATGAGTCTAGGTGGCTCAGATTGAGAACATTCATGTTTCACCCCTGCGAACTAACTTCAAACTCAGCACATATTCTTAAGGTCAAATTCTATCCCAGTAGGTGCAAACGGTCACAAATTAAACGGATTCTGGCAGCCTCGGACCAGTTCCTAACGTGTAAAGGTGAATAAACTGCCCTAAACTGGCATTTGTTAAGCAGATACCTTTTAGAAGCACCAAGACTGAGTCTGGACAGAAGACAGGTCTCACTGGTGCCAAAAGCACTTGTTCCCATCAGTTTATGATGCATAAATGGGTAAACAGGAGCAGAGTCAGATCGTCAATTGTCTCATGCTATACTTCTGCTTGTTGGTGGCCTAGAACAAGACAATTAAAATGTTCCATTCTACAAAACTACCACCCCTTACCTTGTAAAATCTTTACCAATAAGCAGAACTTGGTATGCTTATTTATAAGCAGAATACCTATACAGTCTGTCTTGCAGAAAAGAAAACAAAAACCAGAAAAACACATCCTAACTCACATTTTGAATGCCTATCGCAGAGGGCTGAAGAACGCATATCACAGAGTCGAATAGTTCCTTTGCTACTACTGTAGACAAACACGTTACAGTGATGAGGGTGGAACTCTGCAGCAGTAATCACTTCTGTCAGTTCCTCCATGTTAGCAGGCTTAATATCTACAATATCTGGGAAGGTTTTGGTAAAGGCAAAGAACATTTTACATTCAAATCATTTCTCGTAGATAGCTATAAAAAAAAAAGTTAAAAATAAACTCAAATCCAATGCAGAGAAATAGGGTAAGATCTTGACTTCTACTATGTGCCATTTGCATAAAGTAAAAAGGACCCGAGTAGATTAAAAAAATAGAATTTTAGAGATCAATTTTAACATATGCTGGAGATAACTGAGGAAGAACAGAATGATGATCTACAGAATTCATTCCAAAACATACGCTAGATCTATCCACAGAAGCACAAAGAGCCAAGAACTATTTTGCATTTTTCTTAGGAGTTCTTTATTTGCATAGTAGTAACATAGAAAAAGAAAACAAAACAGAGTTAAAAGACTTTTCTTAGAATGAAGCTAGGCTCCATAGTGCCAAATAAAGCACCAAGTAAGATCAAGCTCACAGGCAGAAATCTCATAGACTCTCTCAAACCTCCTTTTTAATGCCTTCTTACTGAACACTGAGTACACATTACCTCTCCATTTACCTAAAGCCTTTCTAACTTGAGTATGCTGTTTAATATTTCTGCAACTGCTATTTTACTGCAAGTTTGCCAATGTAGGACATATTACTACAGTTTTAGCTTGGCAGGCTTGGAAAAATATAAAAGCTTTTCAAATCATTTCTACTGTTAACAATATTATTTGCTATGGAAAATTCAAACTTTAAAATTTAATTTATTTAAAAGAAATGTTATTTTAGACAGCTAAGAGAGAGAGAGACCTTAAGCTTTGGAAAATAAAATCAACAGTAACATATGGTCTACTTTTCATCTCTCTACTCTTATTTAAACTTCTCTTCAGAAATCAAACTACCCACAGTACTTTTTAAATCAACAGTTTTCCACTGAAAGAAGGCTCAAACTCAAGCATGAACGAAAGCATCCGAAGGCCTGCTTTCCCTGTATTAAATCTCTAGATTTTAAAAACCTGTATTTTAATGCCTAGAGTCAAGCATTCATTCTGATTAGTAAAATTCAAGTGATTCTATTAAACACACAAATTACATGTGCCCCAGGGTTCATAAAGGACAAAAAAAAGGATACTAAAACTTCTATCTGTGATTTCTAAATGCCATAGGTTAATCCTTAGGTCATCTGCAGAAAGGTACGTTTCATGATCACTATTTACTGAAATAGAGTTTATGTGATAAGTATGTGCATTTGCAAATATCCTTCTGGGACTTGCTTCTACCATTAGGTCCATGGGTTTCAATATTGGAACCTAAAACATGAAAAAGAACAGTCAAATGCTGCATAGAAGTGGTATTTGTTTCAGAAGATTTAAATTAATGCACTCCACAGGTTCCAATTTCAATCTGCTGGATTCCCCCCCTCCCCACACCAATTTTCCAGCAGGAGTACAGATTTGTCCTAATTTTTCATAGGACCACAGAAGTTAATGAGCACAGCTGCAAACCTCATGTTATGAAATACACAATATTTTGCCTAATGGCAAACACTAATAGTAGAACTTCGATTTCTTCTTTCTAAAAATGGTTCACCTAGTTCTAAACATTTTTCAACTCCTCAGAGCAAAAAAAACATAACAGCCTATGAATGCTGGCTTAGCATACAAACAGCAAAAAAACCTCTGACAGACTTCTGCAAGAGTTACCTGTGAAATACAGAAGCTTTGTACCTCCTCCATCAGGAAAATGGTATATGTGTATAATGCAATTTGAGGATGATGTTAATTTGAAACTAGTGCTTCTCCTCCATTCCCAAATTAGAGGAATGCTTGTGAAAGGAAAAGTTAGAAAAAACCCCCATAATTTGTTTACTCTGAACAGTCACTTTGATTTTATGAACACATGGACACCTTTTTTCCACAACTAGTTGGAAGGAAGACACAGTTTATCACAGTCAAGCGAATTAAGCTTCCCTCTAGCTCCCTCTCAAGTTTTATCACTGACCAGCAAGTGAATAGTTTAAGATTGCCCATGGTCATCCTGTGCTCTTCTAACACACACAGTTCAACATAATGCTACCCTTCATCATTCAAACAAGAAAAAAATTATGCGTGTCCAAGATTATCTGGCTTCCTGGAACACAAAACACATCATCCAAGAGCTCTATAATTGTTTTCACCATGTATCTATCTTACAGCCCATTTATAGCATAAATGGTAATGATTAATTTTAATCAGTTACTGCTTACTAGACAATCTTTGTATCTGACCATGAACATTCTTAGCTCTTAGTTCCTGCTCAATTATGAAATCAAAAATGAATTAATGCACGTCACCAGGAATAGTACTTTGATATGTCCTGGTCTTTATGTAAAGGATGCAACTTTGAAGTGCTTCTTCTCCTATGAATCTACTTTGTTATAAAGAAATGGGGATTATAACTTCTGTAATGGAACATGCAAACAAAGCCCATAGGACAAGCTATATATATACACTCTAGATCCCCAAATCCTAATAAATCTAATATATGAAGGTAACTCTAGGTGCAGCAGAGCTCCCTCCTCTCCCCCAATCTTTTCTCACACTTTGTTCATTCCATCATCTTTTTCTGCAAGATGTAGCGCCTGGCAACATTTGCAGCTCATCCCAACCCTCCTTTCCTAGAAATAGAGCAAATTTAGAAGACTAACTTTTAAGAGGGAGGTTCTTGCTTTTTGATGCCTTCCTCCCATTCTGCTTGCTGCTTCCTAGAATATATTCAAGTGCTTAAAATAGATATTCACACACTTCTTCAGTGATATAAGCAATACCATGTAAAACCATGGGGCCATATTCTGAACTCTCCAGGTTCCCAGATGGGTAGTCTACTCCTACATAAGGCCAAGGTTGTAGAAGCCAAAATTTCATCTGTACCTATTTTCCATCATCCCAGCCATTGCATTTGCAGCTAGTAAGTCTAATTTATTTCCTTCTTTTTAGATATTTTAATCTGATGATCCTATCAGATCTTGGCTCCCGAATACTTGTGTAGCAAGACACTTTCCAGAAGAACTGGTTGCCCTTTCCCAGTGTGACTATGCATTAGGCTCACGTATACCTAAAGCTTCAGTTCAACATTCAGTTGAAAGAAAAAGAAAGAAAAGAAAAGAAAAACTGTGTAGTCCCAGCAAATATCAAAGAGTGACACAAGCTCTGAAAGCAGTAAAAACCTTAGTTTAAATCCCATTAATGGTAAAAGTCATTATTCCATTTCAGAAACTCATGCTTTAAATGGTCCCAGGTTTGGAGCACTAACTCTACTATTATATCCCTACAAAGATGGAAAAAAATTCAAAATGCAACTATACATTAAGTTTCCCAAACGCTCAGAATCGACCTCTGACAAAAACACCTTCAACCTAACTGCAGAATTCCCAACGCTCAGTTTAAAAATTTAAGTCTTGTTCCTAGAAAAAAAATACAAAAGGTTAAATACAAAGTTAAAGAAATATTCAGCAAAACCTGAATTATCAGCACAATCAAAGCTGAATATTTCCTAAATTCACACAGCCTACGCATTAATGCCAATGAAGAGACCCTACCTGCCAGTTTCACCGATCAGCACATCGGGAGGATGAAGGTAAGGTGGGTGCCTACTCTTCCTTACTAGTGGCACAGATACTACAGCACTATCCTCTGCTGGTATAGCCAGAGCAAGGAAGAAAAGACAGTATACGAAAGGCCTTTGCATACTGAAATAAGCGTTCCCTACGCATGTTCCCCATTATATTTTGTGGGGGAAACAGGCTTCATCCTAAATGGACAAAGTTTTATTTAAAACGTTGAACAAGTTTAGTAACTTTCAGCACCAACACAACTGAATCAAAGCTGAATCTGCTCCAGCATCCAGCAATACGTTTCATTCAGTGGTGGCTCACCATACATAGCATTTTAAAAATCTCAGCTACAAAGACGAGATGACCGAAGTGTTACATGCTCTTCCATTATTTCAGTTAAATACTTTAAAGCAGTGATTTCATTCTGCTTTCCCAGCTGGAATAAATAAATTCGTTGCGGCTTACTGCCCAACACCTCATCCCATAACAGTCTGCATATTTTGTTGTTTTGTGTTAAAAAAGAAAATAGAAGCTATCCTTAGCCATAGATAACAATTTATATGGTGCAAAGTAAATAGAAATTATTAGTCATATTTCTAGACACATGAAAGAGTTTCATGGTAAAAAAATTTGGTGTAAGTTTTTTTTTCTCCTGAAACACCATTCTTATTTCAAATTAAATATGGCTTCAAGTATGTGTCAGAAGTGTCTAGTTTAAAAAAGTAATCATGGTCTATCAGCACACTCCTTGGGTACAGATAAGCCAGAACGACTAGATGCAACAGTTTAGATTAACTAGAAAGTACAGACTGAACTTTTTATTACTATTCTTAATGCTGCACCAAAACATTAGACTATTTTAACAATAAAGCATTATGAATCCATACTTTCTGTAAATTGAGTTCAGAGTATAACAGTCTCAGTTAGTGACATTCTGAAATGCTGCAATTTTAGGCCAGAATATCTTAAATCTTACATTTTACAGCTCTCAACACATCAGGATCTCTTTTTCTACAGTCAATTTGAATACACTCAGGTAGGCTAATGTTGTCTCTAGCCAAGTATTTTTAATTAAAAGAGTTTAAAATTCAAATCCATTTTAAATATGTTAAGGTGTTCCGAGAAAAACATAGTGGAAAGCTAATAAAATAAGACAGACCTCCGTGGCTATAGTAAGTTTTTCAAACTAACCTTTTCTTATAGGTATGTCTTTATAATTAAGTATCTCCATTTTATAAACGTTTTCAGTGTCCCTGACCAAAGCACCATTTCTAATCTACGCATTTCAGATGACAACTTTGGTAGTACAAAGGTAAAGAAGTAAATGAGAACAAAAAATATTTAAAGTCAAAGAGCAGAAACATACCCGTAGCGCTGTGATTCTGAAAGGATCCCTAAGTCTTCCATCTTCATCTTTTAAATTATAACCTTCGGCTCTTTTATCCCTTTCACTTATTTTCCATAATTTAATAGTTTTATCTAAAAACCAACAAAAATTCACATCCTTGAGAATGAATTAAATTCAAAATAAATCACTAAATAATAGAGTCAGCAGAGTGGGTATTCTTTTTTCATCTAGCTGTCCACTGCTTGCCACAAAGAACCTCACTGGAGTCCTTTGAACAACAATATGATATAAAATACAACCCTCCCTATACATATTTCAAACGCTTTGCCTTCAGTTGTAGCGTTTAACAGAATTGGTACTAAAAAAAAAAATAAAGCCCAAATACATACACTTGGCGGCTGGGGATGGGAAACCAATGAATGTAGCAGTGAAAGGGAAAAACAACATACAGACAAATACATTCCATGGTCAATCTACCGTACTGTTTAATTTGAATAAAACAAAAGCCTTCACCTGAAAAATAAGGCACTAAACATATTCACTGAAATTACCCTTCACAAGATAAGCGTTACACATCAGTTACCAAAATTCACTAGTAAGCCCTGTACTGACTACCTAACCTGTTTTAAATAACAAGAAAAACGCTAGAAGAAAGAGCTTACAGGCAAATACGAATTACTTATAACTTCCTTAAATTAAGGAAAATCAAATTTGTTTCAAGGGTCTGCTAAGAGACAACTAAAGGCAATAACAGAGTAGGAACTTGCTTTGTTATTTTAGGATTCCATGTCCAGCGGCATGTACTCCCCAGGTCTTACTAAGAGAAGTCTGTCCAAATACAGAATGCAAGTATAAACCAAGAATAAGATCTATAGGTACTTGAAAACAAACCTCTCCTCCACAAACTACAAGGTATTTTTAAAATATTTAAGACTTAAAAAAAAGTTTAAGATTGATTTGAATTTAATATGACTTAGATCAAAGCAAGTACTGCAGACAGAAGTCATTCTTGCTTCTGAAGTTTTGTATAGCAGGAAGTACATCAGCACTTTTATAAAATCATTTAAGTACAAGGAAAAGTATGATCCAAACTCTCAGGAGCAACGCTTATTCCTCTGACAGTAAAAGCAAGTTTTTCCATGCACACTTCTACATATTAAAGCTTGCTCCATGACACGATAAAATGAAATAGTCCTAATAATCATAACACTGATTACACCAGGAATATAAGTAACAACTAATATCATACTGGAGAAGAAAAAAAAAAAAAAGAATGAGTAGGTCAAAGAAAAGGTGGCGGCATTGCTACCTTTCCAACTTGTAATTTTTGCATTGCATTTATATATTCTAAGGTCCACAGCGAAAATGGTACAAATTGCTCCTTTTTATGTGACTGTTGCTTTTTAAACCATGCGCTGTTTTAAGGATGCACAAGTTTTGATACTAGAAAAGTAAAAAGAGCACTGTAACCACAGTGTTTCAATTTCAAATTCTTATCTTTAAAATATATCTGGGATCAGAAAAGCTTCAATCATCCTAATTTTGAAACATCAGCCACGCTTTCAGACTTCTACTACAGTTTAGCATACTGGGAAGCCCTTTATACAGAATCCAAACTAAAAGGCAGAGTAACAGGGTATGCAAACTGGTAACAAGGCCAGCATATCCACATGATGTAATTACGCCTATTATGTTGCTGCTTCACTACTTTCAAATTTGTAAGTCAGTAATCTACAGTATTACAATCAAAGCATATTTAACATATAATTAGAAGCAAGAGAAGACATTAAAACAGTCCCAAAACACCCCCTAGAATCACAAATGGATCAAGGGTAAGATAATATTTAAATGAGGTATAAAAAGTTCTTTTTGCAAAAATAAAATGTCCTTACCATTTGTAGACAGCAGGAAATGAGCAGCATTCTGTTGTGGTAACCACCTAATTTTATTAATTTTTTCCTCAATTTCTAGACTTTTCAAGTAGTCAAACTCAGGTTCATGACTCTGAAAGGTACTGTAAACATTATATTCTCCCCTAGAATGAGGACGGCTTTTATTCTGCAAGGAAACATAATATTTCTTGAAACTGATGTTACTCAGTTCATTAAGAATTGTACATATGTTACAATTTCTAGTCATTAGTTTGTAAGTGTCAACTAGAAAGTAAACTTACAACAGGTCTTGATGAACTTGACATTTTTACTCCATGACAGCATCCAGTTTAGCATCACTACAATGCACAGAGACTTACTTTTTTAAAAATAGCTTTATGCATAAATAATATAATAAGTTCTTTGATTAGACAAATTAAAGTACTTTAAGAGGCATGTCGCTTGCAAAGGAATTCCTGTGTGTGTTTTGAAGAGTTCTTGGCTATACTATTACCAAGCAGTTTCAACAAAATCAGAGCAAAGAGATTAGCTACGTCCTAAATCCTAAACCTTCAACTCTAAGGCATCAGTTTCCCCACTTCATTTAATCTCCATACCTGTCCTTATCCAAAACTCACTCCTCTAATCACCAAGATATGGACAAAATACTGGTTTCCAGACCATCAAATGTTTAAGGACCTAGAACATGGTGTAATTAAATATGGTTTTACAAAACCATGACTATAAAAAGTCACTGATGAAGGGCTGGAAAGATCAAACATTAGAACTGGCTCCTTTCCTACTCTCTTTAACAAATACTGTACACAGAAAAGGTATTACGGTTTACATGTAAGCTCTGACAACCTTTCTCATCATAAAATCTCGAGGGAAGGTACTGCCACATTTTCATCTGAGCCTTTCTATAGTGTTCATTCACAATAGACCAAAGATTATTACACAGACAAACAACTTTTTCCCTTAAAAACTAGAGGACAACTTTGTATTTTTCTCATTTGGTAGATGGGGTACCCTGGAACAGAGATCAAAGTCACAAGTATCCACTGATTTGCAATATCAGATTTGAGGTATCTAGTTATTTGGCTTTTCAAATAAGTTAATGTTAGATACTCATTCATGTTTGGAGAACAGCCCCCCGCTGGTGAGCTGCATGTGCCCAGAACTTCTGAGAAAACAAATTGCCATAAAACACAATTGGAAACCATTCACTTGAGAAGAAGTAAACCATTGCAAAGACAGGCAGGAATCAGTTGCCCAGGAAAAGCCTATTCTGCACACTGACTGATGGTATGTGACTGTGGGAGAACAGCAGTGACTCACGCCATTAAAGACTGCTGCACCAACCTAAGGCTCCGAAGGCAACCTTTGTTCTGAAACTTCCTTACATTTCCATGCTTGACTTTGCAACTTCCGATAAGGTTATTTTGGCCAGTTTCTTTCTGCTGTCTCTCACAAGCATGGAATTTTCGTTAACTCTGCATGTGAAATTTTATAACTATGTTGGATTGTTATTAACCTAATCTAAAATTCAACTAAACTATAAGATTTTACTTCATTACATTTTCAGTATCATTTGAGTAGATGTTTTTCCTCCTTGCCAGAAATTCTGTAGTTTTGTACATGATACGAGTACTTTTGTACTAAGACACACATCCATGCCCTGTTCTGCGTTAGATCAGCTGAAGCATGTCACTTTACCTGTGCGTGAAGAAATCAAAACCTATCAAATGAATGAGTTAAATACATATCAAGACCATAAGCAGTTAGGCTTCTGAAGTCATTTGATTCCAGGGGTCTTTTCTTTTATTAAAACACGAGTTCCGTAACTCCTAAACTGGATATAGGCAGAGAGAAATTTAACTGAATGCTGATGAGATTGTTGCAGTGAACTAAGCAACGTTAACTTACCAAATGGTAACCTTGGAAAGTCCACAGCAATCAAGTTGAGAATAAAAATGAAAGTCCTCATGTTCAGATGGTTGGGGAGGGACAGAAAAGAATAACTCTTATGCCTACTTCTTCCTACAGCTCATATATGCTCCCAGAAGACAGCTGAATATTCCTGTGTGAAGTCTGACTTGTTTTTCTAAACTATGAGGAAATTATTTGACAGTTGGGTTTTGACTTACAGAACAACCGAGCACTAAACAGCTGGAAGACAACCAATAATAGTTCCACTCTAAACAAGCATCAAGAAACCAAAGACCCAGAGCAGGTGGACACTTCTGACCTTGACCTCTCTGTGCTTTAGTTAAGTCTATACAGCAGACTAACTGATAAATGGACTATGAGCTCTCTAGGTGAAGTAGTATAATGTTTCAGCAGCTTTTTCAGCGATTGTATTTTCATTTTACTACCTCTCAAAATCCTTACTTGAAAACTTATAAATCACCTTTGGTAAAATATTTTATAAATGGTACTACAGTAAGGATGAAATGCAAAACATTAACTCAGTTCATTAGCTGAGCATCATCTGAACCACACAACAAAAGTGGGATTCTGCTGAAAAAAAAAAAAAAATAGAACAACTAAAGATTAGCATGTTCCAGGCACAAAAAAGCTGAATTTAGAATTCCATGCTCAACTTTGCTATGTCTCATGTAAGAAAAAACTCAAAACCAAAATTCTCATCAGCTCTTCAAAGAAAAGCATAAGCATACTCTTCAGTGGCAGGAAAAAAAAAAAAGCCACGTGGAAAGTTCAATCTTTAAAGAAAACAAGTCAAGGTTTCTCCCAAACATGATAAGGGACAACAAATATCTGTCTGCATAAGGCTTATTTAGTAAGTCAGCATTTAGTGCACTCTTCCAGTACACACTACTTCTGTGGATATATATAAAGCTCAGTAGTATATCTCTGCTGAACAGGCAGAATACAGTGCAGTATCATCACAGAAATGAATAGCATTGCAAAGATCCAGCTGAAAAGCCACATAACTTTGGGAGGGGAGATGTCTTCCTACCCTCTGGGTCTAGAATTCCCAAGTTTTTCTGGAGAAGTAGCTGCTGCACTGTTTTAGAGCCATAGGTTCCTAAAACACACCAGACTTAATTCTTCAATTTCTGAACCATCTTTTCCTTTCCTCCTTGCAGTTTAACATGTGTTCTCCTTTACTCTTAAGCTGTTTTCAAGAACATTAGCATTTACCTTAGATCAACCTGACCCTAAGTGTAAAGTTTAGGAGAAAGTCCACAGGCAGTTCTGCAAGATGATATTGAGCACACTAGGCACATATATAAAGTGGTCATCTATTTCTTTTTGTGGGAGGTTACCCCCAAACCAACCTACCAAGTTCAGTAAAAGGTAGATATTTAGAAGTTTGGACTATTTAGGGTTTTCTGAGGAAACTATCAAACCATTTAAATGCTGAAAAGATGAAGTGAGACCGTGCAACACAAGAGCAGTGTAATAGCACTTTTATTTTTCATGGCACTGACCTCTTGTTCCCTTTGAAATATAACCACTCTGCCACCTTTGTCTCCTGTTGCAAGAAGATCACCAGAGTAATTAAATTCAACTGTTGAAATAATATCAGCTGTAAACAGAACAGAAATAAAATAGCACTGTAATGTGTAAAGCAAATCAAGATGTTTCAAGACTTGAACACAAAACAAGACCACTCAACGTTTATTAATGCAATTGAAGAACTATTTGATTTACACCACTGTATCCAAAAATTAAATCCTATTTCAAAGTCTATCAATTTTTTTTAAATTTAAAACTTTTTCTCAGTTCAAGCGTTCAAATTTGAAGTCTGAGGGCCTTCATTCATAAAAGAGAAGGCATATTGTTTTAAGAATCCAAACTACGTATTCTGCTGGAATTATCTGTTGACAATAAACACATACACATGAGAGAGTTGTGCCTGCACAGAGCTTCAAAGAATAAGAATCATATTAGAAGAGCTCATCAGGTATATTACTCTGGAGTATCACTGCAGCTTAAACTGACCACAGTGAGGCTGGCACATACCTGCCTTACCCCTGAGCTGAGTATTTATGCAGTTAGTTCAGGAAACAAAGCCGGCCAAAAGAATAATAAAAAAAAGGAAATAAAAGTTTGACAGTTTAGCTTCCTGGACCAACTCAGTGCAGATTCATGAGCACTGATACAACAGATAGGCCGCAAGGATAATGACAGGTGAAGAAATAGGAGAGCAAAGGAAAAGACCGCAGGAGCTCCAATTTAGACCGACTTAAGCTCCCTTGGAAGCAAACCCTGAAAACCACTAGCATTTATTTACCGCTGATGATAGATGCTCTACTGCGTGCTGCAAGAAATCTTTGCAAGTGGCAATAAAGAAATAATTGTCATCAAACAATCTCTAACCAAGAGAAGAACTAATTGAAGGCTATAAATGTCTGCCAAGTTTTAAGCAGACAGTAAAAACAAACAATTAGACAAAACAAAAACACATACACACTTTGACAGTGTAAAGTTGTCAGTAAACAGTTTAATCACAGAGTTGTTGGCTAGCCATATAAATATTTCACTATATTATGGAGGTAAAAACAACTTGTAAATTTTCAAGTATTTCATGACAATTACTTTCAGAGTCTGTAATTGGAGAGTCGATGAAAAACTACCTGTATTGATTTTGATGTGTCGTTTTCGATTGATTGCTTTGATTTGAACTTTAAATCCCCCCACTCTCAGCAGGCAGATGTTTAGACATTCTAATCAGCTTTCCCAATATATCATTTAAGTTATTAGCAGATCCCCTTCAAATACAGAGATCCCCTTCCTAGCATACAGAGATTTTTTTTTTTGGGGGGGAGGGGGAACCAAACAAACCAAACAACAAAACAACCTGAACTTGCTACAGATTTATCCCAGCCTTCAAAATTATACTACTAACTTGCTTCTGGATACTTCTATTTCTATATTTATCCTTCTTTAAAATGTTATAAAAAGATTCCATTTTGGTAAAGAATGGGATGATGGCTAATCCAGAATCTTCAGCAGACTTGCTTAAAAACAGACCCAAAGCAAACAAACAAAAAACTCCACACACAAGAACTGCAGTACTGCTGCACATACTGTGGTGAAAATAATTTCCCTAATCCGTCTATTTTTCCAAATTAACTACACTGGTAGGTTCTAACTAGAGTTTCCAGCATACCTTGCTCTCCCTTCACAAAGGGAACTTCAGTTGCCATCACGATGCCTAACTACAGTGACCACCAGTTTTACAGTTCCTCAGTCATTTCTAAACTTGAGCCAGAGAATTCTTGGTAAATTTATCCCTTCACTGGCGACCTCTTTCCAAGTTATTAGGAATCAATCTTTTTTGGCTTCACTAAGAACACTGTCAGAATAAAAATTATTTCCCAGTTTTATACTTCTGGTACATGACCATTTTGCCTCAGTAGGAGACTGTATATAGAAGTATTTAAAACACAAAAACAAACAAAAAAAACCACACCCAAAACAATACTCCTCTCTCCAAATGACTAAAATGGATTTACAGCAATAAATAGTTACATACTAAAAATAACAAAGGTTTCACTAGTACTAAATCATCCCTTACTTTAGAAATTGCCTTAAGAGTTCCTTGTAACACCTCACTAATAAAATCTTAAGACACAGCGGTACATGCATACATTTATTTATACCTACATACATATAAATATTTTAAAAAACTCATGTCACCATATAGAATGGTGCTGCATGTCTGCTCAACTCAAAAGATATAAATTAAAAAACCTATCTATTCCACTTACCTAGAAACTACGTAGAGCAATAACATTTTACAGGCATTTTTCTTCACTGAACCTTTATGTTAAAAATTAAGATGCCTGCAATAAGTTTAAACAATGATATAAGATCTGCTGATCCGTGTGTGAACGGGACCTCTGTCCCTCTCTTTGGAAGGTTAAAGAAAATTCAGATTATCGATGCATCAACACCTGTACTTCCTACCCTGTAAGCAAACCAAACCGAGGAGATGATAGACAAACCGAGTTTAAAAGGGCTATAAAGAGACTGCGGTTTCTAGCACACTGATTTCCCAGTGAATCCTGTTCACACCTCTTACCCCAGTTAAGTTAAAAAGAATATACAGGTTACATTGCATATAATTTGAACAATTTTATCTGCCCTTAAAGCTGATATACTAGTTCACTTTTCCAAAGTTTATCACATTTCTCTAATTAAACCACAAACACTCAGAAAGACAGGGAAGTCTCACATACATGAAGAGTATACGAACTGGTCCATGCAAAGCTTTCTCTCAACTGGATTTTTTTTTTCCTCTCCAAGAATGAAAGTAAACTTTTTTTTATTAACGTTAAGTGATAAATCATATGGCACGAGAAATACCTCCTGTGAAACCTTACACAGGGCACACGTTTACAAGTTAGAAGCGATTAGTGACTGAGGTATGCATAGATGCCATATGACTGGTTAATGCTAGAAGCAGTAGATAGCTATGCCTCAAATTCTCAAGGTAACTGGATCACTCGCATTTAACAGAGTCATGACAATAGCAACCTTTCATCCCCAAAATAGTATATTTAAACTGGTGCAATCCTGTGGAAGTGCAGAATTTGCTGAATTCCGGGGGGGTGGGGAATCTATCTTTAAGGAAAATTGCTGGATCCACTGCAGAAATCAAAAAGCAAAATTCTAGTACCCCTGCAGACAAGCTATAAAATTTTTCCCCCAGAATTTTCAGCTACAAAACTCATTTTTCTTTTTCCTTCATTTTGATGTACATTTTCCTCCAAGAACTGTTATCCACATTTGGAAAAAAGCTGATTTTAAATATCTTAAGTGTTCTGAGCATTTTAAACAAGGTCCTTCCAATAAAACTTGTATTTTATATGTATATAGTAATCCTGAAAATGTTTTAAAGCCAATACATTCTTCTTCCATGGTAATCAAGGGAAGAATAAGAGGTAAAAGACTCAAGAATCAGTGCCAAGAAAGGAGAACTCTGTAGGTGGCTAATACAGTTGTTGGGCCTCAGTACTGATCCATGTTAATCATTTCCACAATTACACATTTGCTTTGTGCCCAATACATACCTAAATTGTGTGAATGTATAAGTTATAGGTCATTACAAATGGTTGACTGGCTAAGAGGTTTTACAGTTAAGAATACCAAATATCTTATCATAAGCAAAGAACGTAGGAGTAAAGTAAGGAAGCTAGCATGCCCCTGAACTAGCTGGAAACATTATCTTCATTGAATTTTACTCTAAGGTTGCTACAGTGCAAGAATAAAAAAGTAAAACTCTTACCTCCCAGTATCACTCAATTATATACATAAAAATAGGTATATCAGGAGACACCACAGGAAAGCAGAAAACCAAGGAAAACCAAAATGAACAGATAAGGCACTCAATCCAAGGTGCAGTGACTTGATAGAGTAAGTTTATGACATTTGCAGTACTCTTCTCAAATATTCAGTAGCCCTTAAGTTACAAAGATTTACCACTATCAAAACTATTATTCCACTACCATGAAATCTGAAAGCCATTCAGGTATAGATATTTCCACTCACTGAAACATTAAACTGCCCTAGTAGGAACAAATCACTCCTTAACATAAGTAAAGAAATGAAATCATAAAAAATGCTTTTCCTTCTAGCTTTAGAAAGTAAAAGAGGTGTTAATAGTTTCTCCCATGTACACTATCAAAGTATTTACAGAATTACTTGCTCAAAATACACTAAATACCATTTTTGCTTTAACGTGCATGAGAAGTCAACATCAGCTATCTGACAGTTGTTATTTACTAGCAGTGCTAGGTGTCTAAACTGAATATTGGGTTCCACCCATTATGCTAAGCATTGCAGAAAAACACTAAAATCCAGACACTGCCTGAATTCTAAGTTTTTTTTTTTGGGGGGGGGGGGGGGGGGGGGGGGGGGGGGGGGGGAAGAAGAGAGATGAGAGAGCAAACAAGGTGCATAGTTAAAATGATCATGCCAGCACAGAACGTCTCTCCCCCCCAACCGGCTACCTGCTGGAAAACGCTGTCTGAAATTTTAAATATCATTGAAATGATATGCAAAAATCTATTACAAATATGCTGGCTGGAAATGGGTAAGTGGAGGCAGCATATCAGCACAAAATCAGAAGATATTTGGAGAAAGTGAAGTTAATTATATAGCTCACTTGTGGGACAAACACATATGTGAATTGCCACCTGACTACACTGTGGTCATTTCATTCAGCAGAAACACTCCTTTTCCCCCTGCAGATGAAATAGTTCTTGGCATGCACCACCTGTAGAAGTATTACTGGCTCTTATTGTGGCAGCAGTATGTGAAGCACAGCAATCAAAATGAGTTCTGCAGGTAGCAGGAATAAAAGTTAAGTTTTAGATAAAAGGTGATGACAGAAAAAATGGGTTTTGAAGAAGGAAGTTATAACCGATGGAGAAGATTACTACTCTGTTGCTGTCATGGAGTGAGAAACTGACAGCCTTTGGAGAGCTCCCTTGCAAGGGGAAACCACCACCACCACTGAATACTTGTCTCTCACCTAGCGTTTGAGGATTTTTTTTAAAATCTCAAGAAAGCTCTCGTTTTTGCTTAAAGTTCAGGCTATTTTTTATTTAAAGTTTACAAAAATCTTTAGCAGCATACTTTGTTTCAAAATAAAACAGAAATATGCAGACCACAAACTGGAAAAGACTGTCAGAGTTGTTGTATGTGTGTACTTTATCCAAGTTACCAAGAAAAATTTAGAATAGCATAAAAAAAGCATTAATGCTTTTAAATAATTGATTTAAAGTATAAATGAACAACACTTTTCCCTATAGGAACGTTTCATTGACGCATAATGAATCCTAGAGTAATTCCACCAGTATTCTCAGCGTTGCACTGTTTCAAAACCGGTAAAATTCAAAAATTATGAGTGTGGAGGTAAATTGCAAAATTCACTCCAAATCAATCATTCTGTGTGCACTGCTCAGAACACCTGACCCCTTTACATTGCCTCTTCCTATGTCAGCTTAAAACTTTTAGAAAAAACAAAAC